CAGCTACTTTAGAGGTTGATGCAAAAGAATTACAAGTTTCAGGCCAGCCCAGACAACTTAGCAAGATCTTGTTTCAAGTTTTAAAAGCAAAGAAAAAAGAAAGGAAATGAGATACAGCTCAGCGGCCTATTGGTTCAATCCCCAGAACAGAAGAAAAAGACAATTGGAATGATAAAATCTTTATATCATAGAATTCTGAAAACTAAAAAATTGAATCCATATTTTGAAATGCTTAAGTTAGATTTTCTCATCCTACAGAACTATAGCATCTTAATGACAGTAACAGTTAAAAAAAATGACTGATAGCAACAACACCTAAGGAAGTAACAGAAATAATTTTATACCACTAGTTATAATTTATAATGTTGTTCCTGTTAAGCTAACATGTCCACTTGAATATAGCATAAGACTCCTAGAAAGATAACTGGATCATGTGTCATCATATTTGTCTTGGTTATTTTCTCTCATTGCTGGAACAAAATACCTGATGCATAACATTAAGGAAAGAAAGGATTATTTAGCTCACAGTTTGTGCAGGTTTCAATCCATACTTGACTGGCTCCAAGGCAGAGTGGCACATGGCTGAGGGCAACAGCTCATGGCAGCAGAACACAGTAAAGCAACAAGTGCAAAAGGGAGGAAGGGCGGCAAGCAACCTCTTTCTCTCCCTTACATACGCAAACTATTCACCTTAGGGTGGGTGTGCACTCACGCCCATAATCCCAGCATTGGACTATGGATCAGTCAAATATCTAGAAGCCTTCCCCATGACTACATGAGGATTTGAGGGGACATGCAGACACAAACCATAATAATATTCATCAGAGTTAAGCCACTGGTGCTCATAAGTAGATGTGGTGTTAGCAGGTGGTGCCCAGTTGGGGGAAGGCCACCGTCCCTGTGCCTGTGGAAAGTGCACCTCTTACTGCTGCTCTTGTCCTGTGCACTGCTTCCTGATCACCATGAAGTGAGCAGCCTCACTCCACTGCAGCCTTCTACTGTGATGGTTCTGATTTGGAGCCAGCTGATTGTAACTGTAGAGTCTTAATAGTAAGCCAAATAAATCATTTTTTCCTTTAAATTGTGACTGTGACTTTCTACTTTAAGTGATGAATTGTCAGGTCCCATCATGAGAACTAATCAATACAGAAAAATATTATGAGAGAAGTGGGGTGATTGGTGAGGTTATACCTGACCATGTGCTTTGGAACAACTTTTCAAGAGTTGTAACGATGTGGAGATGTTGGTTAGAGAAGCCCTACAGTGCTTCAAGCCAAGCCTGATGTGTGACTCTGGTAAGAGCTCAAAAGACCACTGTTACGGTTTGAGTCTAGACATCCCAAATTCACATGCACTCATAGGGGGCAGGCTTTTTAGAGGTAATTGAATCTAGAGTTTGTGACTGATTCAGAGTGCAAGGCTGGGATTAAGGGTGAGTGATTGCTGGATCAGTCCATTGATTGGATTGGCACCAACCTAATCCCAGGGTCTGGAAAGATAAAAGGGGCAGAAAGAGGCTTGTTCCACACCTCTTTGCTCCTGTTATTTACGCTGTCTTCTGCTGCCATGAACTGTTGCCCCTCTGCCATGTCACCCTGCTTAGGAGCCAGTTGATTTAGACCGAAACCCCTACAAACTGTGAGCTAAATAAACTTTTCCTTCTTTAACCTTGGGTGTTGGGTATTTTGTCCCAGCAACAAGAAATATGTAACTAAGACAACCACAGTGCTGATTGGAGTGTGGACAGTAAAGACCAGGTTCATGCAGTTTCATAAGAACCCCTATTGAGGTTGGGTGAAAGAGTATCCCTTTATCTGGCAAAGATAATGTCTACATTTTGTCCATGTCCCATGACTTTGTGTGCCACTTCAAGAAAGGCAGATGAATTGATCTGGTGAAGAAAGTTTTAACATAATTCAAGGTTTCAGCTGTGGTATGGGTTCAGATGGCTGATTTTAGCCAAATTTATAGTGAAAATGAGGAAAAAAGAGAAGGGCAGAGAGTTTTAAAACTTAAATTTTGGCCCTAGAGTAACTACATATAGAGTTGGGGAAAGAAGTAATGTGTTTCCTGAAGATATAAACACCATGAGGAGGTGAGGAAGGAAGGAAGGGAAAAGAGAAAGAAAGAAGAAAAGGAAAAAATGGAAGCAAATCTTTGTAAATAAGATGGGAAAGGGGCTGGAAGGGAGGAGATGGGAATGGGAAAAAATAAGAATCAAAATATATCATGTACTGGCACAAATTTGATATGATGAAGGTGATCATTATGTCTACCTAAATTGTACCAATACACTTAATTAATGGTAGGAAAAAGACTACAGACTTTGAACTAGGACAAGAATGATGCTTTGAAACATCTTAAGAATCACCAAGATCACATGCATCACAGATTCAAAGATGCAAAATCACCCACCTGGTACAGCCCCGTGAAGTCCCAGCTTTTGAAAGCCTGTCTATGGAACTTGATTCCCAGGATTCATTTCACTGTGCTGAACCCTCTAAGCATTCAAAGGCTGCTTGCTGTATTCATGGCCCAGGAGGGCCTGGCTACATTCTTCCACAGTGGCAGAACTTGGAATCATTCACACGATCGAGTTTTTTTTTCAGGGCACAATTTGCCAGAATTATAGGGTCAAAGAGACTACCACTTAGATTTTGAAAAAAGGCCTGGGACTCTAGGCTATGTGGCCCCTGATAAAAGAATAAAGCTGAGGGAATGAAGCCAGATGTGCAGTGGAGACCCCAGAGTATCCAAGATGACAGAAACATGGAATGTCTGTGAAGGAAAGCTGCAAGCAGCAAACAGAACCACCTCAAAAGAGAAGCCATGTGGGCTGCGATCAGTAAAGCCATCGGGTGGTGATGTATCTTCTGCTTGGAGCTCACATCCTACCACAGTGTGCTGTGGATGCCAGACACAGAGCTACAAGACTTATTTGTCTTTCTAAGTTTGAGTCTTGCTTTGGTCACAATTTTCTCTGTGCCTGCATTTCTTCTTTTGGCATGGGAATGTTTACCCAGCGACACTATACCTTGGGACTGTGTAGTATGATTTTACTTTTACAGGGTTTCACAGCTAAGAGTTTGCCTTGAGTCTCAAAGGAGATTTTGGATTAGTCTTTAAGGTAATGCTGGAACTGTTGAGATTTTAGGGATGAGATTAAAGTGCATTTGGTGGTACACAGGATAGGTCCATTATATTAGTTGGAACTATGACCTTGTCTGTATTTGGAGAATAAGTATAGTTTAAGATATGTTTTGATATCAAACTGATAAGGGGTGGAGTGGAAGTTAATCTTAATTGTCCATTTGATTGGATTAAAAACTCTTGGAGAGGTGCCACACTCACCAGTGGATTAATCTATTTATCTTCATAGCTGAAGGTATTGTGATGAGGTTGATTGCTAAGGGAATGCTGGTAGAGGGTGTGTCTCTGCCTCACACTCTTGCTCTGTCCTCTGTTTTCTGACAATCATAATGTGAGCAGTTTTCTTTACTAAATTCTTCCACTGTAATCTTTCCACATCAGAGCCAGCCAATCATGTACAGACACCTCTGACACCATGAACACAAAACTGAACTTCTCCTCCTTTAAATTGTAGGTCCCAGCAATGGAAATGGTGAGCAATACATATGTAATTATAAAACCCTACATTTTCTTCACTATAGATGCACCATATCACAAATATCTCATTATTGCTTCAGGGATATCACTTGATTCCAAAGAATTTCACTTTAAACAACCATTTTAAGAGTTTTATTGTATTCTAATATACTGATCACATCTCATTACAGGATTTTTTCTTGTCCAATTCATAAAGAATTCCATGTGATACTATGTTAATTAAACATTTTCTGGGAAAAAGAAAAAGACAAGACCTATGTAAAAATAGGTCATTTCCTATAAGAATTATCAGTATGAATGTTACATAGTCCCTGCTACCAAGAAACTGTCAGTTCTCACCGAAACAGTTGACCAAACAATACAGAAACAGGGAAAAAGTGCCCAGCAACCTTGAACACACAAACACACACATACACACTGCAGTGTAGTTTAAAGGATGGAAATAGACTTACAGGGCAGGGTTCTGAAAAAGTTCATAAGAGAGTAAATTTTGGAAGACTTTTGAATACTGCATCAATAAAGCAGAAGTAGTGTGTTGGAAGATAATCCCAGTGGGTTTCTTACATTCTGCATGTATTGCACCTACCTTTGTTCCAGATGATTTTTTTTCAAGGATGTCCATGTGCATACAGCTTTAGAAAATGTAGTACCTGCTTATGAAGCAGCACAAAGATGATATTTTCCTCAAGGTCTTACAGATTTTCTTACAGCCTCTCAGAGATTTGTGTCCCTAAACATGGGGTTTTTCAACCATCCTGCAAAAACGCTGTGTATGTAACATTCATCTAGACCTCTTCACATGATTTCTATGTGATTTGGGGTACAAAAAATCGACATAAGCATAAAATTCATTGTTGTACCGTGAGTAATAAAGTCTTCTGTCATGCTTCTGGCCACTGATATATTACCAGAAGCTGAACATTGCTTAGTAACAAAGTCAGCATCTTTTGTCTTTAAGTTGTAAGGTTTTTTGCTACCTACTAATTCTAGTACAAATATCTGTAGTCATCAGGATATGCTAAATTATGCTGCAGTAGCAGCATGCTCACAATCGAAATGACTCAATCTTTTCATAATTTATTCCTTACTCACACTAAGTTTACTTGGTCACAGTGACTCTTCAGGAAAACTTGTCTCTGTTTGCTGACCTAGAAATCAAGACTGCTTCAGTGTTGTGGCATTGCCACTGTAACCTGACCCTTCAACCACCATAATTCCAAAAAGATTGAGTTTCACATGACACCATTAAATGACTTTGCCTGGAAGGGATACACCCGTCTAACAAAAAGAGGCAGAGAGTTTAATCTTCACATGCGCAATGCATGAGGAGAGAATTTTAAATAAGTATCAATGTCTCTATCTTTCAGTCCTACCTCAAATGACAGAGTGGGAAATGCGTCCTGGGCCTGGGTGGTTGTAGATGTAAAGGTGGTAATTTTGTTGTCAAATAAAATGATTCTCTTCCCACTGCTCTGGTCAGTAAGAGCCAGCTATTGTGACTCTACCAGTTGTCTTCTCTTTCTTTTATGACTTCTAAAAGCTGGGATTTATTCTTCTACTTTTAGTAATCCTCAATAGATTGGTAGTTGTGCACCAGCTGTTGTCTTAAAGAATATTTTTTACTTGCTACTTTGGCATTAAAACATTGGTATGTATTTTCTTAAAGAAAATATCAGGAAGCTACAAACAAGAAGAAATTTGACATGTTATAATTTAACCATGATTAGAGCTCTTATATTGTTTAAAAATTAATGAACTAGTTTCTTCTTTTATAGCATACAAGATTACATCTCATATAAGAACAAAAGAGACTTTTTTAATTCATCAGTAAAATTTAACCTAAACTTCAGGCTGCAATATTTTCTTTACATCTTTATATCTATAAATCTAAAGAACTTAATTAAAAGTAATGAATTGTAATTTAAAGATGTAACTTTATACTAAATGTTATTTTAAATCCTTTTTCAAAATTATGTTTGGTGTTATAACAAATCTAGATGATAGTATTACATTTGGTAAAGTAAGTATTTATATACAAAGAAGAGAATATTGCTGGGTGTGGTGGTGCACACCTGAATCCCAACCCTCAAGAGGCTGAGGCAGGGAGATCATTGCAAGTATGAGACCAGCCTGGGCTGCAAAGTGAGCTCAAGGCCAGCCTGAACTTCGTAGCAAGACCCTGTCTCAAAAAGATAAAAAATAAAATAAAATAAACAAAGTAGAGAACATTGTGTCTTATACTCAAATATGAATTTAACCTTAGTAAATATTTTAATTGTATTCTGAGCTTGAAAGCAAAGTTCTCTAGAACAGAAAATAATGGAAGACATTTCAACATTCAAAGGCTGAAATGATGCTTTAGTAGAATGCCATTAAGGGAAAAAAAAGGTTGTGGAAAATTAATTAGAAAGAAAAAGGAGACAGTCTTTGACAATCTGTCTCCATGAGTTTATATAGTTGCCTGAGAAATAACTAGAAGAATCTGTCATTTACACTGACTTCTCTTTCTTTGCAAGAAATTAGAAAACAGTAACAAAGACATTACTACCAGCAGCTGTGGCACTTTTCATTTCCCAAGATATCTTAATCAGACACTATTTAATGCTGGGTGCACTTTACTGTCAGTCTTTTTCAAATGTAACTTATTTAGTATGACTCTAAAAGCTGTATGCATGTTAACTGCAAACATCCTTTCTACATTGCCTGGCCAATCGCTAATTCAAGAGTCACAACAAATGTAATGCCACAACTATTCATTTATGCAAACTCAAGTTCTTCAGTAAAAAATATTTTCATTTTCTGTTCTTAAAATGATTAACATAATGGGCATGTTGGTGCATGCCTGTAATCCCAGCACTCTGGAAGGTAGAGGAATCATATGTACTTGCTTACCCTGACCAACCTAGTGACTTGGTGAGACTGTGTATCAAAAGAAGAGAAGAAAAGAGCAGAGCAGAGCAGAGCAAAGTAGAGCAGAGCAGAACAGAGCAGAGCAGAGCAGAGCAGAGCAGAGAAGAGAAGAGAAGAGAAGAGAAGAGAAGAGAAGAGAAGAGAAGAGAAAAGAGAAGAGAAGACAGGTGGGAAGAGGTGGGGAGGGGAGAGGAGGGGTGGGGAGGGGAACAAGAAGAGACCTAGGATGTTCAGTGTGAAGACCCTGAGTTCAACGTCCAGTATAAACAGCAACAACAACAATGAAAAGATCATTATGACATTGCCTATCAGTGTTAATCAGGGTAATAATCAAGATAAAGTGTGAACATATCTCTGAAATTCACTGAATCATACTAGTATTGGTAATTGCCTTCATAAAAGGATGCTATACTATCAGCCTATTTGATTCATTTCTAAGGCAAACTACCCTTACATACATTAGTGGTTGAGGGAGCTCTGAAATAAATCAAGAAAAATTGATTTGAAGTACTTATGAACTGTATTTTTTTATTACCTCTATGAGAAATTAGAAATATGTCTCCTATTGTACAAATAATATTGTACCACATAATTTTATGTTTTAGTTTTAAATTTTAATGTGTATTGGGCTATTTCTGTTCTATGTATCTTGCTAGTATAAGGACAACAAGGCATACACCTTAACTTGTGCTTGACTAGCTGAACCTAATGTCAGAAAAATCATTCAGTTTTATATCTGTTTACTTCAGAGAAAAATAACAATTAAGGCATGCTAATCTACATATCTTCCATGATTAGAGCCAAACAATATTTTGGTTATTGTAGGTTATTTTCAGTCACACCTTCTAATGAAATGTCAACCCTTCGGAGCTCTTAATGGGCCATACTTCCTTCTGCTCTTTATTCAAATGTTGCTTTGTGAGCAAGGATTTGCAAACCACCAACTGAAGATACACATGCATGTCCCTCCTCCCTCTTCTCTTGGTTTCCCCTTTCTCTGTGACTCTTACAGTTATAGGACAAGAAAGTCACACCGTGAGCCCTGGGCTTTGTTTTATTCACTGTCTTGTTTCCAAATGCTAGAGAAGTGCTGTGAATAAAGACACTGCACTTTACTAAGGACATGAATTAGAAATTAATACATAACTTAACATTTTTTTTTAAAAGTTATAGAACAACTATTTGGGGGACTATCTACTCAATGCTATCTTTTCCTGGAAATTATTTCTCTCCTGCTTATCACACCCAACTCCTTGTACCTATTTATATAGTTCATGTGAGCTTTAACGTGATTACTCCCTGTCATCAGGACCACAATGGATTTGTTAGTGATTATCATCTGACCCAAAGGGGAGCAGTTACTTCATCACGATTCCATACCAGGACACATTTAATTGACTAAGGGTGTATATCAGTCCTACACTAGAGTATTTAGGAACTGTAGCAAATAGAGGGGGTCTGGATCTCCTGTGCTGAAAGTTATTTAGTGCTCCAGATGTGTTGACTGCTCTCTTTTCTGAAGAAAGCTGGTCAGCTATGAGAAAACATAATGAAGCCAAAGTCCCAGAAAATTTACAAACTGGTACAATCGTGCATAAAATCCCAGAACCCTGACTTCCTGAGGAATACCTCTAACAATAAAAATAGTTTTGCACACATTCAGAATATAAATAAATTAACACCTAATTCTTGAGCTGAAAGGCAACAAAATACGATTTCATTTTTCATAAGGCTTCCAGAATTTGTCTTTTAAAGGTGAAAGCAATCTATCTATTTCACATGGGTGGGATTTTTATACAACTTTCCCATTACTATGCTACTTTTGGGTCAAAGAATTAGGTCTATTCTCAAAGGGAATATCAAGACCATGTATTTTATTGTTATTGAGAAAAGACTTTTAAAACAGCATCTGATGTAACCAGCTAAATGCCAAACATACTGAGGTAGATCTCACTTCATAATGATCTAGTTATTCATGGAATTTTGTTTAATCATACCCTGACTTAATGGCTGTAAGAATTTGATTAAAGTGATCATAATCCTTATTTGGTAACAAGAAAATAAAGTTATAGGTAATACTATAGCCTAGTAACCACACCCTGAAGGCATAGGGCTATAAGTCATTTTTAATTAGAGAATTTATAAATCAGAATGGGTGGAGAATTGTTTTAAAAGTGATCATTTCAAATCATAACAAGGAAAGATGCCTTAATAGAAAATGTTTTCTGCTTCATAACCTTGTCAGAGCTAAGCCCTAGTATGTTAAAGATCCTGTTAGTGTTGTCTTCTAGCCACTTTAATCTGTTTTATTTCCCTTCAGAGGTGTTAAATCTATACGATCTAGCTATGTCCAACCAATATGCAATTTTGCAAATCTTAGTCTTTCCTTTCCCACTCCTCCCAACTCTATCAACTCAAAATTCATATACTGAAGTCCTAACCCTAATTGTTTTAGAATGTGACCTTTTCTGGTTATAGGGTCTTTACAGAATAATCAAGTTAAAATGAGGTCAATATAACTGACATTCTTATAAGAAAAAAATAATGTGAACACAGACATGCACAGGTAGTTTGAGAACACAGGGAAAGCAAGACAAGGACAAAGACATGGGGCAAATTCTCTCTCACTGGCCTCAGGAGAAACCACTCTTGACAATTTCATCTCAAACCAGTTTGTATTATGTTTCAGTATGATTCTAATGAACTAAGACCTTTTGTGAGTCTTTTGCTTATCTTTCAAGTCTGAGATATCTTTCTTGTGCTTCATGATCACAGAATCTACAGCTGCAAAGCAATTAACGAAGCCCATTTGTTTTAGGGTGCTATACACACCCCTTCTGTATTATACAGCAAACACTCTGTCCTGTGACTACTACCTGCCTAATCAGACTTCCCCTGGGCCATACTCCATTGTTTTTGACAAATATCTCTTACAAGTATTAAGCCACTATAATTTTAGCCTACAAATGTTCATTATTAATGTGCTATCAAGTTTATGTGCATGTTATTCCTTCATTATGTGACCTAGTTAATTTGTCTCATTGCTCAGGCAAAATACCAGACACCCAAAGTTAAAGGAGGAAGAGTTTATTGTAGCTAACAATCTCTAGAGGTTTCAGTCCATCTTCAGCTGGCTCCAAAGGAGGGTCGCATGACATGGAGGCCCAGCAGAGCAGAAGCAGTTCCAGGAGAGCAGACAGGAGGCAGGAAGCAGCGAGCTTGCCTTCTTCCTGTGCCTTCATATCCTATCCAGGCTACAAACCAATTGGTTGGTGACATCACCCCCAGGGTGAGGCTTCCTTCATCAGTAAACACCTTCAGCCACACCCAGAACTATACTAAACCCATTATCAGGCCCTTGATTCAGTATCACATACCCATCATCCAGACATCCCCCGAAAGCCACATCTGTGGGCATGTGAAGCTTCGGTGGACCTCTAGATATAAATCATACCACTAAAATCACTTCTAGCTCTTTTCTCAATCATACTGCTCTTTTGTCTGAAAAAAATATTTAATAATTACTTCATCTCAACTCCTGTGACTTTTTCTTGGGAGGATTTTGTTATGATTTATGACTGATTACATAGCAATGATTCTCATAGCACAGAAGATTTAACCTTTGAGTAGTATTATTAACCTGCCATTGTGCCTCAAAGAACTGTACATCCCTTGTGGAGAAGGATGCTGTTATGGTTGATACATTGTGTCAACTTGGGGAGTCTAGAGGTTTGGCTAAGTGACTCAGCAGGAAGCCAGGGTGCTTACTTTGTATACATCCTGAGCCTGTGGAAGAGGAGGACATGGAAATTATGTGAGAGCTACATGCCCCTTAGGTGGGGGTAGCCTGTTTACAATGTAAGGGAGGGGAAGAGCTGCTTGCCACCATTTGCTTTTTTGCTCTGGCTGCTTTGCTGTTCGGCTGCCATTCTCCCCTTTGCTCTTGTTGCTTCGCTATCTTCTTCCTCGGAGCCAGCCAAGTATGGACTGAAACCTCCACAAACTGTAAGCTAAATAAACCTTTCCTTCCTTCATTTTGGGCATTGGGTATTTTGTCTCAGCGAGGAGAGAAAAGTAACCAAGACAGATGCATTTTCTTTGCCATCCTATCACTATAACTTAACACAAAGCTAGGCTAGCAGCACAAAATGGATACTCAAAACTCAAAGGTAGACATATCTTTGTGAAGCCTTAATAGATGTTTCCAGGCCCTTCTAATTTGAATTTATTGTAATTAAAACATTATCACATTTACAAATTGCATTATTAGTCAACACTTTGTACAACGACTCATTTTTTATGTGCCACTATTGGTCAAATATTTTATTTTATGCCTATCTCCATTCAGCTCAACAGCTTTATGAGAAAAGTTGCAGGCTCTGTTTTTTTGTTTTTTGCACTTTAGTACAGTTCTGGTACATCTTAAGCATTCACAATATCCATTAATGAGAAAAAATGATCCTTATGTAAACATGTAAAATTATATGTTGAAAGCAAGATTGAAATCTCCCTTCAGTTAAGTCTGTTCCAGACTCACTTCAACAAATTTAAAAAGACATATCCAAAGAATCAAACTAATCAGACTACTCTCTAAGGAAAAGGAATCGTGACATTTAACAATTTAATTGCACCATGCTTACTGTCCAATTGAAGAATGCTTAACAATTTAACTTCAGCATGGCTTTATAAAATTTTATTTATTTATTTGTTTATTAATTTTTGTCTTTTTGAGACAGGGTCTTGCTATGCATTTCAGGCTGGCCTTGAGCTCACTTTGTAGCCCAGGCTGGTCTCAAACTCACAATGATCCTCCTGCCTCAGCCCCCCAATCAAAGAATACTAAACATTCCAATGAAAGAAAAACATTATTCTTAATTGGTAGAAAGGCAGTCAATATGAGCAAACATACAGATTCCTGAATATACACATGAATTTGATACTATGAATTATTGGGGCTTTTCTGACTCTAAAGGTTTTATCCTTAGGATTAGCCAATTCATAGAGATGATGAAGAACTTGCCTTCCAGCATGGCTTTCATATGCAATTTACCAATCACAGGTAACACCTCCTTTACCCTCAGCTTTGAGGGAGGACCACATTTCCTCTCCTTTCATCATCCCATGGCCAGGTTAGGGACACTACCAAGTTATCTAGCTTTGAATACAGTTCTTTTTAGTTTCTTTTTGGTCAAGTCCCCCACCATTATTGAGATATAAAGATTGAATGCTGTACATTTATGATGTACAATGTGCTGTTCTAAAATGTTTACTTTGTAAAGTAATTTTCACAGTCAAACTAATAATCAACCATCATTTCACGTAGTTAAATTTTTTGATGACTATGTTGAATATACACTATCAGCAAATTTCAAGTATAACAGTATAACAGTTACCATGAAGTACATTAGTTCTTCAGAATTAATTCATCCTGATTAATTGAAATTACCCTTAATTAACAGCCCCACTTACTCAATCTCCAGCCCATTGATAACTGTTCTATTTTTTGCTCCTATGAGCTCAGTATTTTCAGGTTTGAAAGATCCCGATGTACTTCCCTCTCTAATGCCTGGCTTGCTTCACTTTGCGGAATGTCCTCCAGGTTCATCATGTCATAATTGATAGAATTTCCCTCTTGTTTTAAGGCTGAGTAATATTCTGTGGTAGACAGATAGATGAATAGGAGAGAGGGAGAAAGAGAGAGAAAGACAGAAGAGGGAGGAAGGGAGAGAAATTTTCTACCCATTCATTCATCAGCAGAATTAGAGTCCACCGACAGAATGGTTATTATGAACATTGATGAAATAAATATGGAAACACAGAGATCTCTTCACAATATTGACTTTATTCCCTTTAGAAACATAAATCCAGAGTCAACACTGCTGGACGACACAGGAGTTCTTTTCCATTTTGGGGAGGCTCTGCCACACTTTAGCATAACCGCCATACTAATTTAAATCCCCACCAAGACTGCACCCTGGTTCTCTTTCCTGCACATCACAGCCAAGCTTTTGTGCTTCTTTTCTTTTTGATAACAGCTTTTTTGAAAAACAGGTGTGAGGTGCTAGCTCATTGAGATTTAAAAAAAACTAACAAAATAATGAAGACAAACTCAAAAAAACACAAAAACAACTAAAACGATACATGACCTCAAAACAAAATGATAGGAATTAACAGTGGTTGCTACATTACATACTATCATCTTCAACAAAGTTGCTCAGTCCACCTGATATAAGAATGTAATATTGATCAAATAATCAAAGACATTAACAAGTACTAAAAAAAAATTGGAAATGATGCAAAGCTTCACCATATAAGATGGTAGGAGTTCAACAATGGTTCTTATACTCCAAATTGTTGTTTTCAGACCAATCATTCTGATTACCAGATTCAAGTGTGCCAAACTGGTCCAGAAAAATCAAAATTTTAAGCATTGACTGTTCCTTTCAATAAACCACAGACATCAGCAATAAACCTATCCCTGCTAGCCTTAAATTTTGTTTTTCATTTTAAAGAGAAAAGAAAAAATCCCAAAATAACAAAAGCAGTACATAAACAAAACAGTATAGAGAACAATAAAAATGAGACAGAATTTTAAAACATGGTGATAGGATATTAACAACGGTTGTTATATTACATGGTGTCATCTTCAAAATTGTTGCACATATAACCAGATATAGGAAAGCAAGATTGATCAAACAATTACACATTATAAGTTCCTTTCAATAAACCAATAGATATTAGTAGTACAATTATCCTAGCTTAAGTGTATGCACAGCATTTTTAATAAATCCAGTGGCAAATTGTATGTAGTATAAACATCTATTCAAGATTTTGTGCATGTTTAAATCATATTACTTGTTTTATGGTTACCGAAGTTTTGAATTAGTTATTTATTGTGGATATGAATGTCATATCAGATGTGTGGTTTGCAAATATTTTCTCTCTTTCCATAGGTTGTTCCTTCTCTCCATGGTTATTTTTGCTATAAGGAAAGTTGTTAGTTTGAGAAATTCCTTTTTGTTTATTTTTGCTTTCGTTGTCCATGCTTTGAGGATCATATCAAAAAATTATTGACTATATCTGTATCTCAAATCTTTTTCCTTGTTTTTTCGAGTACTCTTAATGATCCTGGTCTGACTTTTAAGCCCTTAGCCCAGTTTGAGTCCATTTTCAGGTGGTATGAGACAGAGGTCCAATTTCACTCTCCTGCATGTAAAACTTCAGTGTTTCTAACGACATGAAAGAGACTGGATGTTTCCCATTGTGTATTCCCCATGCATTTGTAAAATATTGTAAATGTATGAGTTTACTGCAGGTTCTGTATTCTGTTCCACGTAACTACCTACCTTGTGTTCTTATGCTAGTACTATGCTGTTTTGATAGTACAGTAGGTTTGTGCTACAGTAAATATCAAATAGAATGAAGTCTTCAGACTTCTTTTTGATAAAGATTGTTTTAGTTACTTAGGGTCTTTTGTGGCCCCATATTAAATTTTTAATTTATGCTCTATTTCTGTGTAAAGTACCTTTGAAATTTTGATAGGGCTTTCCCTGAGTTCTTAGATCACTTTGGGAAGTATAAATATTTTAGCAGTAATAATTTTCCCAATTTCTATAGCTTCGATAACCAACTCCTAAAGACCCATTGGTTCAACACTGTTAAAAGATGGGAAAAAATGTGAGGTCTTAGGTCACTGGGTTTGCCCTGGAGAAGAATTTGGGGTTTTAAGTTCTCTCTTGTTCCTAACTATGAAGTAAACAGGATTCCTCTGTGATGTATTCCCACTAGGACACACTATGCTGCTAGATGCCAGAAGCAAGGAAGTCAGTTTGTCATAGACCGAAATCTCCAAAACAGCAAGCCAAAGTAAACCTTTTCTAAGAATGCTTTGATTATCTCAGATGCTTGTCATAGCAGCAGAAAGCTGACTAATATACCAATCCATGGAGACAGGATATCTTTCCATTGACTTCTGTGTTCTTCAGTTTTAGTCATCAGTGTTTCAGTTTTCAGTGTACAGATTTTTGCCTTGGGAAAATTATTTGTTTTATTCTTCTTGACACTATTATAAATTTTATTGCTGTCTTTTAAATCTTTTTAGACAATTCATTGTGGTGGGATACTACTAATGTTTATGTTGTGTGTACCCTATAATTTTATTGAATTCATACATGCAGGTTTATTTAAATCTTACAACGTGCAAAGATAATTTTACTGACTCTTATCCAACTGGGAGGCTTTTATTTCTTTTTCTTGCCTAATTGCTCCGACTAGGACTTCCAGTACTTTATTGAATAGAATGGGCACCCTATCTTATTCCTTATCTTAGAGGTAAAAGTTTCAGCTTTTTCCATTGACTGTGATGTTAGCTGTGCTTTTAACAAATGTGGTTTTATCATTTTAAAGTAAAGGTTTTCTCTGCCCAATGTGTTGAGGTTTTTCATGAAAAAAAGTATTGATTGTTGTCAAATGTTTTTCCTACATCTATTGAGATGGAATAGTTTGGCATTTTTATTTTTATGTAATATAATACACTGATTGATTTGTATGTACTAAGCCATCCTTGCATCCCAGGATAAACCTAACTTGATCATGGTATATGGCCCTTTTAATATTCTGTTAAATTCTATTTGACAATACTGTATATTGATGAGAATTTTTGCAACAATTCTCATCAGGAATAATTGTCTTTGCTTTTTTTTCTTTCAGAGATTTTTGTCTTGGTTTTGGAACAGTAATGCTGAGTTCATAGCATGGACTTGGAAGTGGTCTCTCCCAGGTAATTTTTGGAACAGTATGAGAAGGACTGTTTGAAATCTTACTTAAATACTTGGTAAAAATGACCAGCAAAACAACCAAATTTAGGCTTCTCTGTTTTGGAAGGTATTTTGATTCCAGTCCAATTTCTCGACTTATTTTTGTCTGTTTGGGTTTTCTATTTTTTTGTCATGATTTAGACTTAATAAGTTGTATATTTCTAGGAATTGATACATTTCTTCTAAATTATGCATTTATAAGTATGCAGATATTCACTGTAGTCTCTTAGATGTTTTGTATTATTTATTTCAATTTCTCTTTTTTCATTTATATTTTTATTTGAGTTTTCATTCTTTCTTCAGCATAGCTAAAAGTTGATTAATTTCTTTAAAAAATGTATTTAGTGTTATCTATTTTTCTATTGCTTTTCTAGTCTCTATTTTACTTATTTGATCTGAGCTCTGTTGCTTCCTTCTGTCTATTAACACTGGGCCTAATTTTTTGTTATCTTTCTAGTTATTGAACGTGTTGTGTTTATTTGATTTTTTTCTCAGTACAAATATTATGCAAGCACACCTCTTAGAACTTTTCTTTTTGTACCCATCTATTTTATTACATTATTTTCCATTTTTTGTTTCCCTCAGGATTTTCCCCATTTGATTGTTTCTTTGACCCACTTGTTCAGAAATGTGTTGATTATTTTCTACATATTTGGGGATTTTTAACATTTTCTTCCTCATAATGGTTTTGAGTTTCATACCACTCTGGTCAAAAAATATAATTGGTAAAATTTCAGTCATCTTAAATTTGTTTAGATTTGGTCTGTGGCCTAAATTTGATCTATCCCAGAGGATCTTCCATGTATACTTGAAAAGAATATACATTCTGTTACTATGGGATGGAACGTTCTGTGTATCTGTGATGGCTGTTTGGTCTGAGAATTGTTCCAATTCACTGTTTCCTGATTGTATGTGTGTGTCTGTGTGTGTATATATTTTGTCTAGATGCCCTATCCACTGTTGAATGTGGGGGATTTAAATCCTCCGCTATTATTGCACTGCTGTTTCTCCCTTGAGCTCTGCTAAAATTTGCTTTGCTTATTTAAATGTCCTGGTGCTGGATGCATGTATATTTAGATTAGACCTGGAACAGTCATCGTGTTTGAGACCTTAAGGGCTATGATGTGCTAAGGAAAGCCTGAAATCTGTGACTGGCCACACTGCCATAGACATGGTGCTGAGGTCTTCAGCAAAGTGAGGTGTTCACTGAACTCCTTCCACATAGAGACTATTTCTGTCTGTGCTGTGCTGCTAGGCTTGATGAAGAGTAATGTAGATGATAGGGAACAATTCTCATCCTCCTCAGTGACTTTGCTATATTTCTGTACTCTGTGTAAGTGCTGGCATCTCTCATCTAGATTCTTTATTTCCCACGAAGGCATTTCCTTATGTAAGGAGCTTCAAACTGATGTTTCTGCAAAAGTATGAGCAATAACCCTGCTATATCAACTTGATGATGTGATCCCTGTAAAAATCTCTCAGTCCTTTTGTGAACAGTTTTCTCAGATTCATCATCTAGCCAACTAAATTCTGACAGCCTTGTAGCCAGTGGGTCTATGAAGTCAGTCATCAAAATGACTAGAGTCCCAGAATCGGATCCTCTGGTGCACCTAGTGCTCTCTGACTTATCCTTGGGACCCCGTTCAGCCGGAAGTGTGGGCACAGTAGACAATTCCTGGCCAGAGAAATGAGGAAGTCAGTAACCTCTTCAGCCTGGAATGATAGCTGCAAGTGTTGAAATGCAGGAGTGAATAGAAAGGAAAAAGGAAATTTTGCATACAGGAAGAGTCTAAGTAAAAAAAAAAAAAAAAAAAAATCAAGAGATAAGAGGAATCTATACAGATTTCCAAAGTATGTGAGAAAGGGAAATAACATAGCAATGCAGCAGAATCACTAAAAAAAGGGTATTTGATTCATGATTGCAGAAGTGAGACAGAAAATATTTTTGAGGCTGGATTTTCTTTCCTATTGGATTTTCTCTCATGAGAGGGCAATTGATGATGTCGTTAAATTGACTTTGCTGTAGAATATGCACTATATACAACAAAAGACTAAGTTGCCTTACATTTTCTACAAAAACATTATATTTTTAATGTGGATTTCATATTTTCATTTATTAACAGGTCTATTATCAGCAGAACACATGACCTGGAGAAAGACAGGACAAAGAATTAAAATAAGAAATATGCTTCTGAAAGTGACATTCATCCAAAAGTCACCCATGTGTTTAGATCAATTTATTCTAATGCTCTCCAGACAAAGAGAACGCCCCCACATTTCTATCTACAATAGTTCCAGATAGGACAAAGGAAAAATAACAAAATTAGCAAGAAAAAGACTCGCTATTTCCCTGCAGGTAACAAAGAATGCCTGAAACTTGTTGGGATTATTGAAAGTAATAAAGGTTGTGATTACCAAAAATCATAAATAATTTGCATGCAGTTTTCTTACCATCCTTTCTTATCAATATAAATGTGTGTATGTGTTTGTGTGTGTGTGTGTGTGTATATGTGTATGTGTATGTGTGTGTGTGTGTGTGTGTGTGTTTGTACTCATAAGCGCTATCAAAAGGCATCTAAATCCTCTGGAAAGAAATTCCAGGAGGTCTTCATCCTTTTTTCATAATTTTACTCATAAGCAAAATTCCTAAATAAGAGTTAAGAAGGTAATTGGCCCTGTAAAGCAGAAACCTCTGACAAAGAAAACCCAGTAGTCTGCTCAAATCTGAATACTACTTAGAGTAAGCAGGAAAAAAATTAAAGTTTTGAAGAATGAACTCTGAACTTCAAAGAAGCAAATTTAAAAGCCTAACTTGTTCAAGGCAGTGATTACAAGGAAAAGGAGCAGTGGAACATTTATTTTCACTCTTTTAATTTCCATGAAACACATATTAATTTGCTCATTAAATGCTCCAAGTCTTACTTTGAAAATGTAATTTTCAAAACAACATTGAAAATAATTAAGTTTGAACCTCCGGGAAGCCATATGATGTTTGTAACCAAAAAACAGGAATTATAGCTGTTTCCTAAGAATAATTACGGAATTGCACAATCTAATCTTATGCAATTTTCCATCATCTGTTCTATCATTTCCCAAAATTCCACAGGTATTGCAAGGCAATTTTTTTTTCCTTTTTTGTATTTCTGGTTTGAAATCACAGTAGACCTTCCCAGGTAGGCTAGCAACAGAGGAAAAACAATATAACTCAAAAACTCTAATATAAGGCATTCATCCTCTAATGTCTAAGCTGGAGCATATTATAAGATAAACTAAATATTGTTGTAGATAACAGCACTGGGGGCTGGGGGTTTAGCTCAGTGGCACAGCGCTTGCCTGGTGAGTGCAAGGTCGTGAGTTCGATTCCTGGTACTGGGGAAAAAAAAAGATAACAGCACTTATGAGACAGAGTCCTAGTAAACAAAAATGTGGAAAGATGTCCATTTATTTCTTTAATAAACTATCCTCATTGCTATCATCACCGCTACAATCATCCTGAGCAAGAAATAGTCTTCTTTACTTTTCTTTAACCACAGAAGATAGAAGAGGAAAGATAGAAATTTCAAGTCTTTTGCAGCCCTAAGTGATTTCTCAATGATTGAAACTCCTCAAATTTTTAAAATTCATTTCTGATGATTTATTGCCTACTTTCAAAAATAATCAAGTTACAAGTTGTATTTAAAAATAGACTTATTAGAGGCTGGGGATTTAGCTCAGTGGCACAGCGCCTGCCTGGCAAGCACAAGGTCATGAGTTCTATTCCTGGTACCGGAAGTAAAACAACAACAAAAAATAGATTTATTTTACAAAAGTATTGAGAAAAGCTGCATATATGCTAGGCACTTATTTCAAAGCCATTTGAATACTGAAATCTCATAGCACAGAATTTTTAATTTTTTCTCTACCTAGAAATCTAGCCCGGAGATTCTGTTTAAGTAAGTTTGGATAAATGTTTCTCCAGGTAGCACAGAAAAACAATAGCATAGGAAACCTTGGAAATGCAAATTCTCAGGCACCTTGCCAGATAGACTGGATAAGTATTAAAACAACACAAAATAAAACACAACACAACAAAGACACAAAATCTCATGCAGTAAAATCCAGCAAATTGTAGGTAAGCAAAGACCTCTGGGTAACTCTCTCACATGCTAATGCTGAAGACCCCTCTCTTCCGTTATCACATAGAGCTGCATAAACCTCAAAAGATAGAATAAAAACAAAGAAAGAAAACATCAAAATAAGCCATTTCTCTCACTTTGACTTCAGCTAACCCTGTCTGTCCTTAAACCCACTTATTTTATATGGTTTGGGAAAATACTGGTATTTTTAGCAGTCTTCGAGAAATTTGGGGTGAAAAAATAATTTAGGAACTGATATTTATTGAATAGATTATAATGATAATCAAGTTAATAACAGTTTGTTTCTTTCTTATGTGAGCTGCTTGAAGTCCTCACTTTAAAATATGTGCATGGTCCATTTTTATCCTATAGCAATGCCTATGTGTGTGTACTCCTCTTGTCTATGATTTTTTGAGTGAACACAAAATCAGCAGTTGTGACAAAGACCACATGGTCTGAGACAAATAGGTCTATTTTGCCTTTTGGAGAAAACCTTTGCTGATCCAACCAAATCCAACATACTTGAGAAAAAAAACTTTCTGATTACATTTTCTTATTTTTCCCCCTTAGGAGCAAAACAAAAATACATTGCTAGCCTAGAGTAAATTGGTACAAGATTTGGATTCCAGGAGAATGAGATTAAATTCCCATCTAAGAGTCTAGCTATTTGTAACAAACCTGGGTGGACTCTCTTGACTTCTCTCTGCTATTTAAATGCCTTGTCTAATTTAGGCACTGATGCTTGGCGACTGGAACCTGTTTGTTCCTAGAAGGGCTGCTGTTGTTTTTGTTTGTTTGTTTGTTCGTTTTGGTACCGGGAATCAACTCAGGTCCTTGCACTTGCCAGGGATTTGCTTATGCTGTTGAGCTATATCCCCAGCCAGGACTGCTGTTTTAGTAAAAGGTTGGCAGACATTGTCCTCTGCATCAGCTGAGCGATATATACAAAACTAGGTTTCCAGGATCATCAAATCGTGCCTATCCCAGTATTAAAGAATCTGCTGAACTTACAAAGCATAACAGATTTGATAAATGTCAGGTTTCACATTCTCATTATCTGAGAAACACATGAGCTATTTTTCTTTTTTTTCAAAAAAGTGACACATACACACACACTTAAAAAGGATAAGGAAAGTAAATAAAAACTACACTGAAGAAGCTAGAAAGCTTGTGAAAAAACAACACCTTAACCAGCACACAGAAGAAAGGAGAAACCTAAACCTGCAATGCCCTTCTGCAAGTCAAAGTCCAAAAAGCCTTAGAAATTGAAGTATCATGCAGGGGGAGTTGCTGTCAATGCTGTAACGAACTATATGTTGTTTGAATTTTACCATCAATCTAGGAACATGTTGCTCATTGTTCATTTTACATATATGATTTATGAAATCTGCTTTTACTGGATTAATAGTTATTTGTAAAATTATAAAAGATTTATTTAACTGTATTTATGACAGTTATTTCTAGAACTACCCCTTTGTAACTTCTACTGATCATGAAACAAGCATTTATACCACCAAACAAGAAAAATCATACTCACTTAATGTTTGGGACCTATTCTACACAATGTGGTCATTCAAATCCAGTATATATCTTTTAAAGTCCACAATTCTTAAGTTGCACTTCAAAATGTCACATGTAATGAATTGTCTGACTTAACAAAGGAAGAGAGATTCACCTGGAAGAGGATGCCAAAAAATAATTCTGGCTGAGAGAAGATGTTGAAACAAATGTACTTTTCCATCGTGGACTTTTATCTCTGGAATTCCTATCTCTGGAGTTAAATTTACCTGTTTATTCTTTGCTGTTTGGTGACACATAAAAAATGACGAGTTAACTTTAGAAAGCTCTCAGTTTATTTCATCATTCTATTTTCCTTTATGTCTGATCTGCCACATTTCAAAGATTTAATGACTTTTAATTGTTTTACTCAATATTTAAATGTTTAAAAGTTAAAGAAAAGATATCTGGGCTTTTTTTTTCATTGGTAGAAAGAGGTTGGAAATAATATGTGCCTCAGAGAATCCCCAAATTATTGACCCCAACTTAGTCCCCAATTAATGACATTACAAGGCTATAAATTATACAATCAAATGAAAATAGCCTTGCTGTTCATGTAACTTCATATTTTCTCCTCAGGTCATAGGGAAGATTACAAATTTCTCACTGATTGCATGAAAAGAGGAATATATGTAAAATAAGTAACCAGAAACTGTTCAAAATTTTTGTAGTGTTCATAGATTCCTCTTACAATTATAGCCAAGGTTTTGTGTGTCATTGAAAAGAATTTTAAAGATAAAATTTTATCATCTGTGGGTAAATTTGAAAAAATCCTCATTAAATGAGCAAAAAGCCAATCAAAATGTAGTATGAAAGTATCGAACTGAGAAGGCACTATCCAGGTGTATTAGTGACAAAAAGATTGTACGTTGGGTCTGTTAGAATTAATACGAGAAGAGAATTGTTTAATGGGCATAAAGTCTAGGCTTCTGGAGGGACACCACATTGAAATAGACACTCACAATCTTGAAACATTTCTGTGAAATGAGCAGTATTTAATTGGCATAACACCATATGCAGTGATGAATAAAATACAAGATTCCAGTGGCTTACTGTAACAGAAAATTATTACTTTTTCATACAATATAATAATGCACATGTTCCTGGGTTGCGGGCATTGCTTTATCCTCTCCTTAGGGAGCCAGTTCATTTCTGTCCTGTATTTTTAATTGCTGGCTTTCTTGTTTGTGTTAAGCACTTAAATCAGGTAACTGTATAGGCAAGAAAATGTGTGGACAGCACACTTTCATGCAAGGGACCCACTGCTTACACAGCTTCCATTCAGTTGGTTGAAAACTAGTCACGTGAGCCCATTGAAATGCAACGGAGCCTGTATAAGCATGTGTGCTAACTGATTGCCCCACTGGAGCTCCAGGGGCCTAAGAACTAAAATATCCCTAGATAAGAAGCTGCTTTCATCCACGAATCATAAACTACTATAGTATTGATAACATCTGACCTGCTATCTGCAAACTAGAACTGGGTTGTATTTAATGGTTGCTATTGAAATCCGTACATAATGTCCAGTACTTTGCTTTTTGGCTTGCAACGTGTTAAATATTTACTCTTTGGAATTTGGCAAAAAAATTTGCTCACTCTTGCCTAGACTCGGGAAAAATTACTTCAGATCAATTGTTGCACTGTTCAGCCTTCCAGCCTCTAAATGTCCATGTGTGGACTCCTTCACACAGAGGGGAACCATACACTTTCTGAGGGAAGTGTTCCAGCTGTCATGTAGTTATAGTATCTAAGGCAA